GCTGCCGGTTTATTGATATTTTGTTTGCGAGTAAACCTAACCCCACTTATCGCTAATCTATAGATACATTGCTTTCACCAATGTATATACTGTTTGTTACTAATTATATACATTGTCTACGCATTGCCTAGATATACAATATGTACGTGTAAATGCCCATAACTGGCACTTATGATATTGATATCCTTGCGGCTCTCATACCCTCATGCTCAAGAGTATCCCATCTACTTCGTTGCTAACATATATTAGTAGTTCCATCGTATCATTTATGCATGTAAAAGAGACGGACTTGATGCATTTTTCCAATAATTTGTTTTTGCAAAAAAATTAACGTGTTTCATAGAAAAAATTCAGTTCCATAAGTTATTTGCTGAACAAATGAGATAAAAATCTGTGTCGAGGATCTTTTTCCGAACTCCATAATGATATTTTTTCTAAAAGATGTTCAATTGTGTGTGAAAATTGGCAAAACCCCATTTTACAGAAAAGTATGTATTTAAAATAACATTTTTGGAAATTCATAAAATACCTACCATATTATTCATAGCAACAAATGGTGGCATCCCATGATGGTGTCACATGAATTAATTAGTTCATTCAGACCGCAAAAGATTCACTTTCACTAGCCGTAGGATAGTGTTATTAACTTTTTTGTAACCTGTATAAGAATAACTCGGCGATGATGTTTTTAGGAACCCACAAGCTGAAAAGATGTACTGTAGCGTAACGTCGTTAAAATTAGTAATTTTTGAGGAAAAACATCTTGCTCTAGTACGTTTTATCAAACTTGGTACTGGATTCAGTATATCGGCACTGCCACTTTGAAAACACAGTAATGTTGGTAATACACTTATAATAGTCGAACTGACCTTCTAGATCGCTTAATTAAATTTTAGATTTAAGATATACCTACCATTTGACGTTCAGCTTCAGTTGACAGAAACAGGCTTAAAACAATGCCGACTGCCACAAGAATGGCTCATGTTACCAAGGTTAAACAAGAATAAATTTTGTTCAGTCAAAGAAATAAGTTCCTCCAAAATTTCTTAATCATTATTATACTGCGAAAGGTGGGGAAATCTCGAAACCAAAATATGTGAATTGACCTTGAACACCTTACTCCAAAAGTTGGTATTTTGCGAGATACAGGGTGTCAAAGTTACAATTTTGTTGTCTATTTTTCCTTTGATGTTTAACAACTTATTCTTAACTTAATATTCTTCATGAAGTTTAAAGCAATATTATGACAAACATTAGAAACCATATCAACGCTACTCAGATTTTATTCAAAGCAACTTGATTAGGTTATAACGTTTTATCATCATGGTACAAATAATGCGTTGCAACCTTTAAATATCTCGAAAACCATTAGCTTTAGGCACTTCTAACAAGTAAACCTTATTTTGTTGTGGAAATACGAGAAAATAAGATTTTTCGGTCAGTTATTGTATACGGGGTAGCATACAAAAGTTATGATAAGTTATTTACCGAAATAGTGCTGTAAGTGGCGCCCTCTAGAAGTTTGGCCATACAAAAATAAGGGATTCTTGTTTCTCGTACTAGAAAATCTCCATATACCGAGTTTTATGCCAAAATCTGATACACTTCTCAAGCAATAAGGAAAAATAGAGAATAAAATTGTAACTTTGATACTCTGTATCTCGCAAACTATCAACTTTTGGACTTAGGTATGTTTAGGTCAATTCACATATTTTGGCCTGTTGTATCTCCAGTTTCGAGATTTTTCAACCTTTCGCAGACACCCTGTATAAATTGCGATAATGCTTTAGGTATTGCCAATCCCTGGCGATCTTATGAGTTATTTGTTCCCCAAGAGCAAAATCATGTGAGTCACTAACGTGATTATATAGTCAAACATTCGTTGAATCGTCCTTCCTAAGTTACTTAAGAAGAACCGACATCCAGTAGCCTTATTTACGGGTCTGTATCCCGCTAAGTGAGCCCTGTAGGACATTTCCTTATAGAGTCTTGTGGCAACCTATTTTGGGACACCGTCAATACTTTATAAATTATAATTGTTGCTTCTGGTTTTTGCCTTTCCTGATCAAGATGCTACGAGCAACCGCTATTGCCCTCTCGACCCTTTGCGCATGCTTGTGGTGTCGTCCTTCGTAGCACCCGCCACTGATCAACATTTCATAACATCATAACAGCCTATCGCACCTCCATTTGGATGTCATTACGTTTAAGCATTACTTTTGTTTTTGAAGCGGCAGGCTTCGTTGGCTTTTAATTTAAGCCAAGTCGACTGGAATATTAATTTCTTTGGAGGAGTAGGCTTTTGCTACGGTGGGTAATTTTTTATGGACTTGTTTCAGGAGGGAACTGGGGGGGGGGGGGTGAGCGCCGACTTGTGAGCATAAGGTACCTTATTATATTGTACTGGGTGGCTAAAAAAAGTGCCATTATTTCCAGGATATTCAGCACACGAAATTAAATCAAGGAAGTTGTTAGTCCCTTAATCGCAATTACTAAACAACAAACACGTCTTCAAAAATACCACATTTCATCTTTGGCGTAGAATTACTGCCTTTGGTGGCCAAAAGATATTTAAATCGATATATCATGATGCTTTGCCCATTTCAGCCAAATTTGGAGATGTTCATTAGTAAGTTAAATTTTATTTATAACGTCCTAACAAGTAAAGATAGCTGCACCCATTCATGGGTAAGTTCTTGCATTTTAAGAATAAGTAGACTGAACCTGCAGCTTCGCTCGCGTGGGAATGGTGTTAGTATAGGTCATCGTTAGTAGTAGTGTGCAGGATATTGGTTTCGAAGAAAGAAATACAATATTCAAAGTTATGCAACAGGAACTTTGGCAATGGATATTTTCAAACCTTACCGCTTTATCCACAATATTTATTGTATGTAAAATATTTTTTGAGATATTTTGTCTTTTCTCTGCTTTCTGAATACCTTCAAATACCCGTAAAGACCATGGTCAAGGTCATGGACAAAATCATACTTTGACGTAGAAGTTCAAAAATAAGAGCTTCATTTAGCTCCAACATTTAAACCTTACAACTTTGTTTTACAATATTTTTCTATAGGACAATTATTTTTCGAGATATTTTGGTCAATCCATACTTCTGGACATATTTGTTTATTTCCGCACATAAAACCATGCCCATAACCTTTCTTGGGATCCAAAAAATCCCGAAAGACAGAAATTTTGTCGTTGGACTAGAGGATCAAAAAGAACGAGACAGAAGTACTTAACCACCGCGTTCAAGTCACTCTAAATAAAATCAAGACCATAAACACCAATAAAGCCATCTAGAGATTACACCACCTTCATGGAATTAATTACGTTCAGCCCTTCCTCCTCACTTAACCAATGAAGTTACGAAAAAATAAAATGCCAACCAACAAGTTCAAAAATCACGTATAAGATCTAAAAAGGCAATTTTAAATATGGTCAACTCTAATTATTTGTAAAAATTTGAGGATATAATTACGGCCGTTACCGATATTATAGGAAACTGGAAATAATTTCCTGCAGTCTACTTCATTCACTTGTGCTATACATTTTTTTAAACGATGGCTCTAGGCTATGTCTACTATTTACATGTCTCAGATGCTACTGCTTAGACTACGCTCTCTAAACTGATCAGAGACAGTCTAAAAATTTATCATTCAATTTATGTTAAATGGCATAGATTCATTATTAATGATCAATACCATTGACTAATGAGAACCCGCCCTTTACCTCTACTAAATGACGTAGCTTAAATTCAGATCAACAAGATGGCTCTAACTTGTATATATCAGCCTTCGCGATCGCTCTAGTCTAAAGATGGCGTAGAAGTAAGTTTAATTAGCACTGACCATGCATCGCTATCAGTTCATAAAGGATTATGTTCGCCATATGTTAGCCCCCCTGAGAAAAATAATAGCTACGAAAAGATACGACAAATTTAAATGAAATAACATGTCAGTCCAACAGGCCTATATATTCAGTCCATAGTCGTTGATAAAGCCAGCCAGCGGTTAGATGTCAGACCACTTCACTGATCTACTTCGTGGCGTGCTCGTGCGAGTGATACAATACATATGTTCAAAAATCTTGGCTGGAAAATGGTTAACCACGAGGCACTAAAACGGCTCTTATGTTGTTTCCTCACGTGGGTGGATCTCGGCAGGGGCCCCTGGTCTCTTCTGAAACCTTTTGACACTCACTTGCGCAAAACAGGCGTTTTTTTACAAACTGCGGCTTAGAACAATGGTGTGGACAAAATTACTGTTTAATAACAGGCGATTCTAGCGGCGACTCTAGAGCGACTTTGATGATATTTTGCTCTCTTCATCTCACGGCTAGAATGAGCTCTCTTACCTTTCTTGCGAAAACAGGTGCGATTAAATTTAGTGCCAAGCCAAACAACAGCGGAACAATCAACAAAAAAGAATTGGGCTCTCTGAGAAAAAAGTTAGTTAATACGCGACGCGGGTAATGAAAATATTTCACTGTCAAAGTTTTATGAGCAACTGTACGGGGAAACCTATAATTTTTGAAATACGTTTAATTGCGTATAAATTCACTGACGCCAAAAAAATTGAGATACGGTTGTACATGGTTTCTGATGCATGATATACATGTTATGTCACATCCTTAAACATAACATCTCACTTGCGAAGTAGTTCACAATTATTGTAATACGTCTCGCCAATTGGCTTCGGAAGCAAGATGTTCCAAATTTAGCATCAACCCTTATACTATGAGACCAGCAACCACTTTCAGCTGTTGCGGATTACTAGACTTTTATTACACTTCATATCATACATATTCTAACTCATTGCGTAGCGAGGGTCTTTCTGCCCTTTATGGCTGTTTTTAATGAAGAAAAATGGAGCGCGGTTCTTAGGTATTTTCCGGAGAAGATTACGAAGGACATGTTGTTGTAATGCAAGATAATCTTTCAATTTGTTTTTTGAGCGGATGCTGTTATGGTGGATTTATTTAATGTTGAAAAAGTGTAGGGTGAATCAGTAGACTTAGTAACACCTCTGCAAAGGCCTAGCGAGCGAAAGTGGTGTTTAAAGAAATTGCACATGTTGTTTGAATTAATAAATAAAGTAAAGTTACTCAAACTGGAACCTGTTCCAGAACACAAAATAGCGTCAATGGTGTCACTCCTGCTACAAGAATCTGTAAGAAACAGCTATTTGATGACAGTGATGACTTTGGTGATGACAAATAGCACGAGTGAGGTGATCCTAGCTTAAAGTTGTATTCGCAGGAAAATGTAAACCACTTGAAACAACTCTTTTTTCAAATGCATTCTTTTATTTCGATTTTTTTTGTATACTATGCCTTCTTCGTGGTATCATTGCTTGAAATTAAAGCAAAATCAAAAGTACTACATGGTCCAAATACAGATTTTTTTCTAAACTGTAAATCCAAAATATTTTAAACATTAATCCTCAGTCAGTCTGCTATTTATGAAAAACCACGAGTTTCAAAGTTCAGTCATGCCAATTTTATTTATTAAAAGGACAATGTTTTAAAAAAGTGGGGGGCACGGCACGGGTCTGGTCTTTCCGGCTGAGTGATATTAGTGACATAGAACGTATATGACACATCAATATTCAATTCAGAAGCTGGAGAGCTCTGCCTAATAGTCACGGAATTCACAAAACAGTATGCAGATGGCGGACCTTTCATAGACCCACTAGGGATGCCAAAGTAACTGAACCCTTCAGGGTAAATATTGACGGAAAACTGCTCAAACGTAATATTTGAATCAAACCACGCAGGAGGCTCTCACACTTCTGATATAACTGATGTAGATGATAAACAAAACACAGATTGGCTACTAAGCGAAACAACAATCAACCACCAGAACAACATTTTTATATACTCTTTGATTGTTTGGTAAATCCTGTCTACCCGGCGACATATCTTGAGTAGGTTCTAAAAAAAAAAGGTTCTTCATATTTAGATACCTGGTAACGTGATCTAGGACAAGATACCCTTTGGAAAGCTACCTGTAAGTAAAAAATGTCTACTATTATGACATTTTAATTGCAAAAACAGCAATAAACACAAAGAACATTCAGTTCAGCGTTGATTTAACATGTATCTTGATTGCCCATATGCATGTCATAAAAAAATTGGGCTGTCTCATATCTACTCATATGTTTTAAAAAAAAATTATATGCACTTCCTACGTGGCTCCCTCATAGAATAAACAAACAATAGTACCTATATTGATTTCCAGTAATCTATATCGTTCTATGTATATACGCAGTCATAATTTAAGTCTGTACAAACCGCCACCCTTCAATTTTCCCAGATACGATGTAATAAACTTCTTCCGGCAGCGTTATTACACATCCACCACCACTTTATATCAAAAAATTGCGATGAAATTCAACACGCAGAAATTAATATTCCACTCGGCTTGGCTTAAATTAAAACCCAATGAAGCGCACGCACACAAACCAAAATTCGGCTTGAGATTAATGTCATCCCAATGAACATACATGCATTCACGTAAGCATATAGACAGCGGCTGCTATACTATATTGCCTCAAACACCACACAACTCATACATCAAAGGGAGTGCCAATAGTGGCTTGACCCAACTCCCACTTCTCCAAAGAACACTCTGCTAGATGAGCAGCTTCGTGGTAATACATATACATCGTAATTTCGACATGAAAACTTTGGCTCGAAATTTGACAAAAATTAGTAGTAACCATCCACCTTGGTACAAAAACTGTATCGGCTATTTTCAAATAGCCTGCGATGACATACCTCAAGAGGAAATCATTACATTCATTATTACTGGGTGTTCCTTTTTCTGTGTCAGTATGTGTTGTTTGGAAAATATTTCATATGAATGGTTTCCGTTTATTTATCTTTCTTATATACCCAAACAATCCATCTGTAATTTAGTAAAGTGACTGTTGACTCCGTGGTTAAAATTATACTTAAAATAAAATCAAATTCTAGTGGTTCAGATGCAATACCATATCACACTACTATGTACATCTGAAATTGATGTGTACTCAACACATATTGTTAACTGCTCTTTAGAGAGATATTTCCCCAATCAGTGGAAAAATGCTATAGTTGTTCCGCTACCTAAGGGTTTTGACCCTACTAACTATGGTCAACTGAGACCGATCAGTCTACTGCCTATTTTTCTAAAGTATTGTAACGCGTTGTTTGCGATCAGCTCTGTGTCTACTTATATTCTAACAAAATTATTCCATCTAAACGATCTGGATTTCGACAAGGTGATAATACAGCTTCGGCACGGTGATTTAACAGACAATATAACAATGGCACTTGATAACCAAAAAGCAATAGGTCTCATACTTCTTGGCCTTGACACCATTAATCCCTCACTTCTTGTGTCTAAATGCAGTTATTATGGATTTTCTGAAAAAACTCTTTCGTTTATTCAAACCTACCTTGAAAATCGGTATCAAAAAGTTCGCCAAAATCAACAGTACTGTACCGCACAAAAATTTGTTCTGGTGTACCATAGGAATCAGTTTTAGGACCACTGTCATTTTCATTATATATCTTAGATTTAGAATCAAAGGTAAAATCATGCAGCATACAATTTTTTGCCCACGACACTCAAATTTTCTATTCATTTAGGAGTAATGACTTGGAAACAGCAAATAATATACAAATATTTTGATATACACAAATGGAGCAAAAAGAAATGCTTTAAAAAAGGACATAGACGTACATTTAAAAGGTAATAAATTAGTTTCTGTAGATCATTCGAAGAACCTAGGTATTATAATGGATGATGACTGAGAATTTGTTGTTCACGTAAACTATCTAATTTCTCAGTGCTACGCTATTCTCAGAGTCTTATTTGTAAATAAGGCTATATTGCATATGCCTGCGAGAAAGCAATTGTGTGAATCTGTCTTGTTTTCAAAGATATCCTATTGCTTAGTGGTTTACTATCCCTATCTAAATATTATAACAAGAAATCGTATTCAGAATATTATGAATTGTAAATGGTCTCAGAAGGTATGATCATATATCGAAGGTCATTAATGAACTCAAATGCATAACAGTTGATAAGTACCTAAGCCTGGCTCATAGGGTACTTTATTCAAAAACACTGTCATATTTAGTAAACCAAATCATACGTAGAGGGAATCTGCATCTCATTAATATTAGTTATAGAGAGATTTTTTCAATTTCACGCCACAGCACATATATTTACAATGCTATCAAATGGTACCCGGCCTATGATATACACTGTAAAAACATCGAGAGAATCCAACGTCGTTTTGTGAAATACTTATGGTTTAAAAATGATAGAGCGTACCCTGAAAGGGGTATTCGCAATTACACTCTTTTAAGTAGTTATAATTGACCTAATTTAGTCAAACGTATCAATCTGTTAGCTGCTAAATTTTTATGTAATTTGTTGAATGGAACAATTGATTGCTCTTTTCTTCTAGACAGGATCTCTCTACGCGTTCCCGATTTGCGTACACGTCATGGTGGTAACAATTCAATTTATTTACTTGTTCCGCGGACAAATTTATTGTTATTTTCGCCTCTTTATGTCATGTGTAATGTCTGTGACAGTGTAAGTGAACTTGATATTTTTAATTCCACCAAAATCGATCTCAAGAGGTGTTTTTTAACAACTGGATAATTTATATTCATGTCTTTTTTATCATGTACTGTTTAGAGTTTTGTTTTTGTATCATTTTTTGTTTTTTCCCTGCCTGTTTATTGGATCACTCTATTCAGGCAGTGTATGGATTAATATAAATAAATATAATTATTTAGACCACAGTTTGAAAGAAACCAATTCATTACCCAAATTCAAGAAAAAAGTGAATGAAGTTCTACTTGATCAGCAGCGAAATCGGCTATAACCCATAAGTGGCCTCATGTTTTCCTTATGCCTTTACTTAGATTATACATCTCGTATTGTTAAGGGGGTTAGATGGTTCAGTAGGCATATTATCTAAATCTCGCCTCCTGTACTATTACCAATAAAAAAGACGTTAATTATCATTATTAATACCATGTATTGGAGGAGGAGGAAATTCATTGTTAAATACTAACGGTGGATATAAAAAATGCCTTCCTTTAAAAGCTTATGACAAAATATATTCTTCTCTTAGTCTATGAATTATAAGAAGTATAAGCACCGTGTTCCTATCAAACCTCAAATCTGGCAATAACAAAGATCCCCATTAATTTTGCATCCCAGAGGACTGTGACTGCATCAAGGGGGATGCCATCTGGCGCTCCAATGCCCACGTTGTGTCTGTAGGGACACGCGCTCCTCTTCAGTAGTGCTGGTGGTAAGGCGATGATTTTAAATTACATTTGTGCAATGGGTCGTTGCGTAGATCATTGCATCGTCATTTCGAGACTGTCAGAGTTCGGGATAGCCCTGTGTGATGCATTACTAGAGGGCTTTGGTACAGTTGGTCGTAGCTACATGAGGACAGGGTAGATCTAGAAACAAAAATGGCATCAAGTAGATTGACTCTGTATGGCTATAAAAATTATTGTACCCCGACGTAAGGCCGTAGAGCAGAACCAGTATTAGTAAAAAAATGTATTTGTTGATTTCAAAATCGAATGTATGAACTTGAATATGCGCTAGGTATGTCAACTTTCATACGTTCTAGTATCTTTACTATTGAACAATTAGTTTAGATATAATTGAATTGTTAATTTATTTTTTTCCAAATAAATAATTGTTTGCGGTGAATAATATCTTGACAACGTTCGCACGTCCTGGTATCGTTACATCGTTGCGCATCATCGATGACGCGATGACGCTGCTACCTTTGACAGCGTCGGCGTTGCTGACTTAAGATCGGGCCCCTCGCAGGTTAAGGATATCGCGTGTTACTTGTTAGCTGGTATTGCTAGGATCTAAGAAGTAAATATAATGCGAAGTGATACTACAGGGAAAATAAATTCCGGAATAATAAAGCACTTACACATTTACAACACCCTACAACCCTAAAATTCTCAGCTTATAATTTTTTTTGAAGTCTAACTTATCAAACGTCAAAAAATGACGTTTCAGCAATTTTTATTTTTTGTCTACCTTTTGTTGCAAAAATCGTACTTGAAGGGGTTAGAATTGAGGAAACTATTGTTTTTTAAATGAGTGATACAGAAAGGAGCTTTATATTTGGTTTTTTGACATAATATAAAGGAGCACTTACAAAGGAGTTTAGAATTTCCACCCTCAAGACGGAGGCGATGGTTAACGCATTTGAAGTTTTTGGTGGGGACCCAGAATGTTTCAAATTAATTCAGCCTGGAAGTAGGAGTACGTTTTAAACCTAGAAATAGGAGAACATTTTGTCTTTATCTCTAAAATGATGTTTACAAAAAAAGTTCCAGAAATTATATTCCTTAGATGGGGTAAAAGCTGGTTGAAGTTTCCATGAGAAACTTTGTCACCTTTATCTCATAAGCTGTTTGACCTATAAACATGAAATTTGATAGGAAGGTAGTTTATGAACAAATATGTGAATTATAATGGATTCTGGGACAGGGCTGAATTAAGGGATGCCTGAGGTCAGATATTATAGGTATTCGTAATACGTAAATAAAATTTGGTTAAAGGTAAATATTTATGGACCCGTCAGGTCAACTAAGAATGAATTTTGCGACAGTATAGGATTAAGGGTGTAAAAGGGAACTCGCAAGGTAGGTTGAAA